CCGCGGGCGGGACTCGGGGCGGGGCTCTGGGGCGGCACAGGGCGGCGGGCGGTCCGAGACCCGCGGGCGGGTAGGTCTCTAACCCCTTGGCCCGGCGGCCCCTTGGCCCGGCGGATCGCTCCTCGGCCCCGGCCGCGCGGGCGCTGCCGGCTCCCGCACCTCCTTGCCCCGCGCTTCCCCTGCGCGTTCCGGAGGGAGCGCCGCTGGGCAGGTGCGAGCTCGCGCCCTGAGCAGGCGCTCCGACCCGCAGCTGCCGTTCCTTCGGCGCACGTTGACTTCATTTTACAGAGACCTCACACTTGTCCAAGGTCGTACCCTCTAGTAAGAGAGGTGTGGGCCGAATTGCGTCCCCCCAGGAGACGTGTTCAGATTCCAACTTCCTGCCTGCAAAGGCGACCTTATTTGGAAGCAAGGTCTTTGCCGATGACCAAGTGAAGTGCGGTCATTAGGTGGGCCCTAATCCAGGAGCTGGAGTCCTCGTAAGGGAAAACAGAGCCGGGAGCACCCAGGGAGAAGGTCGGGTGACGATGGGGCCTGAGGCTGGAGGGAGGCCGACCCAAGTCCACCAGGGACTGCCGGCCACCAGAAGAAGCCAGGAAGAGGCCAGGGAAGAGTCTCACAGAAGCCTCTGCAGGGAGCAGGGCCCTGCGCACACCCGCCTCCAGGCGTCTGGCCTCCAGCACCGCGAGAGCATTTGCTGTGTGTTGTTTGGTGGCGCTTTAGTGACGGCCCTAAGGAGTCTGCCCGGGGAGCCCGGAGGGGGAGCCCGGAGGGGAAGCCCGGCTGTCCAGCTGCAGGCAGCACTGGAGATAAACGTGGGCTGAGGGTACCCTCCAGGGGGCTCAGCCGGCCTGGGGTGGGAGGTGGCCTAGGTAGGCTTCTGCAGAAAGTGGTGTCCCGGCTAAGACCATGGAGGCGGGGCGAGGAGACGTTCAGTACCTGCCCAGGGTGGGTGTGTGTGGATGTCTGAAGGGTGACTGATGTCCAGCGGGGAGTCCGCCTCACAGACGGAGAGCTCCAGGGAGAGGCAGGGCAGGCTGTCCTCGCCGTTCCTCCCCCTCCAGGGCGCGGCTGGCTGAGGTGTGGGGTTGGTGCGAGCGGCACTGGAAGGCCCAGCTGGCCAGTAGCGTGGTCAAGGTTGTGGTTTTAAAAAATCCTCCTGGCTGGGTGTAGAGCGCGGACTGGAGGGGAAGACGGTGCGGCAGGGAAGCAGTGAGGAGACAGCTGCCCTTAGTCCAAGGAGGAAGTGGGACCAAGGCCCTGGCGGGGGCTGGTGGTCAGAGGCCGGGCAGGACAGCAGGAGGGAGGAAGAGAGGAGGAGGATTTAGGAAGTAGGCTCCCTGGAAGAAGCGGAGGAAGCAGAGGAGCCCTCGGCTGGCCGGGGCGGAATCTCCAGGAAGCAGCCTCTGGGGGGAAGATGGGTCGGCAGTGGCCCCCAGGACTGGACCCTGGTCCTGAGCTGTCCCGGGGGTGACCACTGAGGCTGATGACAGACACCTCCGGCTCTTGGGGGCTCCCATCAGCCAGCCCCAAGGCAGGCAGAGAGAAGGCTGGGCAGAGAGGGAGGGGAGGCCTCCTGCTCAGGCCTCCCAGCCCGGACTTGGAGTTTGTCTGCATGTCCGTCTCCCTGCCCAACAGCCGGGTGGTCCATGGGACCTGAGGGGGCTTGTGGTGCTGTTTGCTGGCCGCTGGCTCCTGGAGACCGTCCCAGTGGACTGCAGTGGTCCCGGGGCTGGGTGGGAGCTGAGGCCGAGCCTGGCCTTGGGAAAGGCCAGCTTCCAGCCTGGAGAATAGAGCGGTCAGGGCTGGGAAGGGGCTGCTGGGAAGGTCTGGGGGTGGGAGGCCTCCTGCCACTGCTGGGCCTGGGCTCTGGGCCTGCCCTGGGCTGAAGGGAGGGGACCTCCCTTCCCTCCTCTCCTTGGAGGCAGGGGCCACTGGGGGCATGGAGGAGGGGCGGCTTGAGACCGCTGGTTCCCACTTGGAAGCCTCTTTATTTGGCCGGGGATGGGGAAGGGCTGGGGTCAGAGCGCATGCATCGCCATGGAAACAGCGATGAGCCTGGCCCCTTGGGGACCCTGGCCCTGGTGGGGGATGGGGAGGCCAAGCTGGGGCTCCGGGGCTCCATTGGCGGCAGCTCTTACAGGGAGGTCCGGTCCCTGAGCTGCGGGACCTGTGGCGAGAAGGAGCCGGGGAGGCAGAGCCACGGAGGGAGCTGGGGGCCGGGGGCGGTTGTCTCCCGCAGCTGGACGCCCCAAGGGGGCGGTTCGTAGACAGTGGGCAGCCAGAGGTAGTGAGGCTGCAGGCCTTGCGGGCCCGGGGACCCCCAGTTCCACTCGCCCCCATGCTCCGAGGCTGCGGGACTGGTTCTAGGGCCAGCAGGCAGGTCTGGGGTGCCTGGTCCTAAATGCCTTGCTCAGCTCGGCCTCAGCCTGAGAGGCTGGCTGCAGGGGGTGGGGTGGAGGCCGCAGGCGGGAGCCCAGGTGGAGAGCAGCGGAACCCCAGCAGTTGGAGCGGGGCAGCCCTCGCCCTCTGAAAGGCCTCTTGACTGTCTATAGTTGCCACTTTGTGTGAAAACTGGATTCTTCTCTGGTCAGGTCGCTCAGTTGGTTAGAGTATTGTCTTGATACGCCAAGGTTACGGGTTTGATCCCTGGTCAGCGTACATGCAGCAATCAACCATCCTTCAAATGCATAAATAAGTGGAACAACAAATCTGTTTCTCTCTCCCTTCTTCTATTTAAAAAAAAACAAACCCCAAAACCCAAAAGACTGGATTCTTAATCACTCCATCGGCTGCAGTTGCTCCTGAGTACAGAGTTTTCATTCAGAGAAGTGATGAGTCTCAAAGAGACAAAAAATAAGGTTTGGCCCCAGCTGCTGCCACCCTTGAATGCCCACTGGGCTCGAGGCTTTACCTCTCCTGGCCCTCGCCCACCTGGCTGAGGCCAGCTTTCCAAGAACAAGGGTTCCCTCAGCCCACCCTGTGGGGGAAACTACCCAGGCTCTCACAAGTTCCAACCTGTGTGTGCACCTAAATAGTTGCCCCAGGAACAAGTGTCCACCTTTGGGAGCCTCACAGGCGAGCACACCTGCGAGGGATGTGCACCTGCAGATTGGGCCTCCTTGCCCAGGAATCCCCCTTTCAGCTTTATGCAGTCCACAGGGCAAGGCCCCTGGTGTGTGGAGGGCTGGGGGCTGTCCAGCTGGCCAGACTTGCTGAAAAGACCTCAGAACCTCTGAGAGACAGCTGGCTGGGTCCGGGAGGCCCGAGTTGGGCAGAAAAAGACCAGCCAGCTCCAAATCACTTTCAAGAAAATCCAAACACACACTTGCATGTTTTGAATAAATTTACATGTTGATGGCACTATTCTAAATGATTTTTTTTTTCTGGAAGAGGAGCCTTCATTTACAGTCTGTGAAATAAAATGGGATACAGTGGTGATTTATCTTGTATTGCAGGATTTAAAAGATGCTGGGGGTGGCTCTAAGTTTTCAGGCCTCTGCTAAGTTTTCAGGTCCAGGGAGCCTATCCTCCCACAGCCAGCAGGATATGGCAAAATGCACATGTGAAGGGGCCACTGCCCAGCTAGACCCCTTCCAGGGCCTCCTGGCAGTGAGGGCATCTCTGGTTGCTCAGGATCCCCAGCACCCTGCAAGGGCGCAGCATATATAGTTCCTCACCACGTAGTTTCCAGGCGAAAGGGCGAACAATTCCATAATTCCTGGGACACTGGAGAGGGCCCTGTCCTGGCTCGGGCACACACTAGGGTGGGAAGCAGCTGGAGCTCGCAGCTGGCCATGGTGGGGAGTCATGGTGGGCGAGCACCCATTTCCCTTCCGTGAGTGTTGCCTGCTAGAGCCCTGCACTGGCAGAACTGACCAGGCCTTTATTATCCCAACCCCTGTCACGGATGTGGCCGCGCCAAGGAAGGGTGGGATTGGGGGTGAGCACGGTGGCTTTCTGCGATGGCGCCGGAGGCGGAGCGGCAGACCCTTGAAGGGACACCCGAGGGGCAAATCTCCGTGTCCACCATACCAACCTAACTTTCCTCACCACAGTCAGAATGATCTTCCCAAAGTTGGACTCTGACCAGAGGTTGGCCCTCCTGGGCCTCTGCCCCACCCCAGCCTCCCTGGGATGGCACCTCCCTCATCAGTTTCAGGGACTGCGATCCCTGACTCTGACCACCATCCCACCCCCGCCCGCACCCATGCATCCAGCTCCAGGCCAGCCCTGAGCCCGGAGGCAGGAGGACGGCTGAACCCTCGCCCCGCAGATAATCTGCAGGAAGACTGCAGCACCACAGGGTCGGCCGGTCCCTCCATGCCTGGAGTTGCTTGTGACCATCTCTGCCAAGTCCATGCTGCAGGGCTCAGGAGCGCAGGCGTGGCGGCTCTGCACCTCCTCTGCAGCCGCGGGAGCCCCTCCACGCTACCCGCTGAGGCCCGGCTAGGCTTCCGCGTGCAGCGATACTGGAACCCAACCGCCGCCTCCCCTGCTGGGGCGGCAGCTCCAGGCCCCGCGCCTGCTTCCTGCCTCGACGGCCCAGTGTGCCTCCCGCGCGTGGCGCGTGCGAGCGCTGGGCGCGGGGCGGGAGGGCGCGGCGGGCCGTCGTCCGGGGCAGGGGCGGGTCGCGCGGGGCGGCCTCGCGGGCAGTGATTGGGCGCGCGGCCGTGACGTCAGCACGCCCGCTCGCCCCGGCCTCATCCTTCGTCTCGGAGCTTTCGGTTCAGCCGCCGCCTGGCGCGCGCTTGGCCGAGCAGCGAGAGCGGGGCGCGCGTCGGCACTGGTCTGAGGCGGCTCGCGGGGTCCCGCGGCCCCGGCCCCGGCCTCCCGGCCCCGCCCGGCCCCGGTCCGCGGCCGCCGCCCCGCCCCGCTCGCCGAGCGCGGATTTGAACGGCCCGGCCGCAGCCCGCGAGCGCGGCAGCCAATCAGCGGCGCGCACTTTCCCGCGGCTTCTGCGGCGGCGGCGGCCCGGCGGCGGCGGCGGCGGGCGGGAGCGCGGGGGCGGGGTCGGCGCCGCGCGCGGAGAGCCTCGGCCTGGCCGCGCTGCGCCCGCCGCCGCCCCCTCCCCTCCCTCGGCCCTCCTTCCCCGCGGCCCCGGCCCCCTCCCCTCCGCCGGAGCCGAGCGCCGCTCCCCAAGAACCGCCGCCGCCGGAGGATGCGACGCACCACAGGTCACTGGGGCGGCCGCGGGCCTGAGAGCGGGGCGGGGGCCGGGGGGCCGGTGGGCCGGGGGCGCGGCTGGGAACCGGGCGGGCGGCGGCGGCGGTAACGGGGCGGCGGGCGGGCGCGGCCATGTTGGGCCTCCGCGGCGGCTGCACCTGTGCCGGCCTGCGGGCCGGGCGGCCTTTGTTCGCGGCGGCGCCGAGCCGGCCGGGCCGGCCTTTGTGAGGCGCGGGCCGGGCCGGGCCCGGGCCGGCGGTGGGAGGGGCGCGCCGGGCGGCGGGGAGGCGCTTTTTGTCTGCAGCGGGTCCCTGGGAGACACTGGCGGGTGCCGGCCGTTGGTCAGCGCGGGCGCCCGGCCGCCGGACCGGGCCTTGGCAGGTGGAGGCGGGCGCCGGGCGCGGGGACCCCGCCGGGCTGCGGGCGCGCGCCGCGCCCGGCTCCGCCTCGGTGCCCCCGGCGTCCCTGGTCGTTGGGGCCGACGAGGAGCTCGGAGGGCGCGCGGAAACGCGGCCGCGGTCCGCACGTTGGCCTGACTCCTGTAGCCAGGAGCGCAGTTTAAAATCTAGGCATTTAAAAAACGCTGCTCTTGACTTTGGGAGGAAAGGACGCGGACCCGTTGTAGCCTTGGTGTTTTCCCGCGGTTCCCGGGACGGGAACGGTCCCAGGTTTGACATTTGAGCTGAAACTTAGTATCTTGGCGGCGGGGATCCCCTCCGGGCGGAACCCGGCGCTCCGGGGTGCGCGTGGGAACAGAACCTGCAGGAGAGGAGCCGTGTGACCGGCACTGGGGAGCCGGTTAGGGAAGTTCTTGACTGACAGCTCAGACTTTGAAGGCCTTGAGTTTTAAACGAGTTAAACACCAAGATGTATGTCTCTCCGTCACTAACCCACCTAAATACCTCCCGTCCAAGCTACCTGTCTGTGATGCCGAGCCTGTTTTATGTGTTTTTAAATGAGATTGTCAAGATGGGAAATAAGTTGTCCCTTTTATGGGTTGGGACTCATCCCTTTTTTATCTCCTAAAATGATTTCAGTGTCCCCGTTACATATTTAAACGGGAGGAGAGCAACGGTATTGAAAAACCACAGCCCCAAACGGTAAGGCAGAGGAAACGGGCCCCAGAGCCCAAACTCCCCTTTCCGCGTGGGCAGGTCGCGGGCAGGGCCGCACGGCCCTGGTTCAAATCTAAACTGCCGGTGGAAGCGAGCGGACTCATGCCTGAAGCATGATGCCTTTGAGTCATTTCCTTTCCTTTCCTTCCATTTTCTCAGCCGCCCATCAGCCTTCAGCTCTGGCCGCGGTTGCTAACGCGCACCACATGGGCGTGAGCTGTGTGAGCTCTGCGAGGAGCCGGGCCCTGCAGTGCCCGGAGCCGACCCCGCTGCATCCCTGCCGGCGGTGAGGCCGACCCCTGGCTCCAGCAGGAAGCGGTCCAAGCTGAGGGTGTCGGAGGGTGACGGGTGGTTTGTCGTGCGTGTGCACCCACGTGCCAGATTCACACGGACGGGGTGAATGCAGGTAACTTGAGGTGCACGCAGGCGTACGGAGGGAAAGAAGGTGTGGCCACTGGGCCCCCGTTTTCTGTGCAGCTGAGTTACCCGGGGCGATAAAACTGCGCCTGCCGGGGGGGGGGGGGTGAGCTAGCAAAGGGCGCGTGGGTCAGAGGCCGTGCGACTCGGCTTCGGGGGCCCGCCGTCCTCCTACTGGACGTCCTCTCCTCCTGCAAGTAGTCCAGCTTTGGAAGGTTTGCTCTCGGGGCAGAATGTAAACTAAAACTCATTAGTTACTTCCTCTTACAGTTTTAATGCCTCAGCGTATAACATGTGTAAGTGGGTGGGATTAGATTTCCTGAGAAGAGCCAGTGTGAAGATAAGAAACACTAATAAAACATGTGCGACATGAGACACAGGGTTCTTGTCACCAAGCACATACAGAAGGATGAGCTGAAATGATGCTGAGGTTCATCACCCAGATTTATGTCCCTGCCCTTTTCAGTCGGACGAGTCCTCTTTCCGAGTGGAGGCTTTACTCAGCGGGAGCTGGGGGTCCAGGCTTTGCGCACACTCTGTGTGCCGGGTTGTTGGTGTTGGCTTCGGGGACGGACTGCCTGGCTCTCTCTGCGGCTGCGGAGAAGCATCTGGGCCATCAGATTCCCCCCTTCTCTTTGGCCAGGTTAGAGGGAAGGAGCCCTTGCCCACTGCGTGATTGGTGCCCTGAGCCAGCTCCTGGCCTTCGTGTGGACTGTGGTGGGGCTGGACTTTGCTGTCCTCTTGTGAGGGCAGCACCCGGCGGCCGCCCATTACCTTTCTCCCTCGTGGGCTGGACTCGGAAGCAGGAGGACAGTTGCTGCCACGGCTGGTGGGCCTCGTGGCAGGTGCTCGGTGCTCAACAGGCACTGAAGCCGCGGACCTGGGCCTCAGCACAGCCCGGCAGCCCATCGTGGTGCTGGCGCCCGGCCCGCTCGCCTGTCCCCTTGGGAAGCTGCGCTGCGGCAGGAGGGGCCTCTGGGAGGAGCTGGTCTGGAGAGTGTGGGGCTGGCCCGAGGGCGCCCTGCTTCCATCAGGGAGCCACGGCCGAGTCTGCTTGGTGGGCCTTCTTTCTTTTCTTCTCATCGCAGCGAACTCAAGGGTTACATAAAAATCAACTGGGAAACAGAGCTCGCCCTGCTGGGGTGGCTCAGTGGGCTGAGCGCGGGCCTGCGAACCAGAGGGCCGCCGGTTCAATTCCCAGTCAGGGCATGTGCCCAGTAGGGGGCGCTTGAGAGGCAACCACACATTGATGTTTCTCCCTTCCCCCCTCTCTAAAAACAATAAATAACTAAAATCTTAAACAAAACAAAATGGAACCAACCTGTAACTGCCTCTGAGAAGAAGCAGACAGGGACGTCTCTACTGTCCCTCTTGGTGTCACTGGGCAAGGCAGGAACGTGAAGTCTACAAAGTACAAAAGCAAGAGGAGCCGTGGGGTTGCAGAGAATCGGGCTCACAGCTCACAGACTGTCTTTACGCGGTCCGTGCGTTCTGTCTCATGACTGGTTATGCATAGTACGCACTTTGGAGAGAAAATGTCTGAAGAGGGTCACCCCAGGGCCCCATCAGCACTTGCATTTGTCTGTTGGTTGCAATGTAGCTTTTGAAGGAGCTGATTGGTTTGAAGATATTTGGTTTGCTAGTTAGTAAAAATCACGACAGACCTCAAATCAGTGTTGTTTTTGGGTCTGCCTTCCAGAAAGCAAATGGCCAACAATGAGTGTTCAAAGCATCTTAACTTCTGTAACACTTAATAGTTTCAACAAAACACGCAGGATAGAAATTGCAGGCTGAGCTGAGTGCTGGCCTTTGCTAGTGGGCATGTGGCGGGCGGTTTACCCCATAGGAAGGAGCTGGGACCTCGACTTCTGTGTCCCCTGGGTTGTCACCGAAAGAGTCGATGGTGTAATTTCAGTTTGTTGGTTGTTCGCGGTATGTTTACATGAGCAGCGTTTCCACGTTTGGATTCACTTTTCGCGTGTGTTTTTGCTGCTCTGTTACGAAGGCCACCTGGTCAGAAAGTGCGTTTCTGGCTTCTGGCTTCAGTGCGACGGTCCTCAGCCAGTTCTGCACACCTTGTCTGGTCTTTCTGAAACACATGGGGGGTCGTGTGAGGCCCACTCTTCAGGGACCCCCATTGCCCTATGGGGTTCAAGACCTGCCTCGTGCTGCATTCCGCGCTTCGCCCTCTCCTGGCCTCCCAGCATCCCTGGCTCCCGGGCTTTCCCTCGCTCAGGCTTCGGCTCCGTCCGCCGGCCCCTCCCCCACCCCGTGCACACAGCCCAGTGCCTGCCTTTTCTTGGGACTTCCTTCTCATTTGCTCTCAGCTTGGACCCCGCTCCCAGAAAGCCACCCTGATTCCCTGCCTGTTTTGGGAGGCGCTAGGGGTGTGTCCTCAGCCATTTGTGTCCCATTGGCCAGGTCCACACTCACTGTGCTCCAGCCACTCGGGGCCTCAGGCAGTGGCACTTGCTCCCGCCTGGCACTCTGCTCTGGACACCTGCAGGCATGGCTCCTGGCTGCCTGCACTCCCCGGCCCCCCGCCCCCCCGCCCCCCTCACTGCCTCCTGGCCTCCCTCCCCACCTCAGCCTTTCCCCGCAGCACTTGCCTCTGCTGCCCTGGGCTGCACGTTCGTGACACGCGGAGGCGTTGAGGTGTCTGTAAGGGTGGCAGCTTCCTCCTTTTGGCTTGGATTATTTTTTAGTTTTTTTAAAATTTTAATTATTTATTTCTAGAGAGAGGAGAAGGGAGGGAGAGAAAGATAGATTGGTTGTGTCTCACATGCCAGCAACTGGGGACCTGGCCCGCGACCCAGGCATGTACTCTGACTAGGAATCAAACTGACGACTTTTCGGCTTGCAGGACGGTGCCCAACCCACGGAGCCGTGCCCGTCTGGGCGGCTTTGATTGTCCTCACACGCCCGTGCTAGGTTGCCACCGAGGGGCTGTCAGTGGCTGAATGCACGGTCTCTCGGCCCCTGGTACAAGGTCCAGCGCACAGTGTGTCCCAGAGGGTGCAGGCGATGGGGTGGCCTGAGCGTGTTGCCCTGCTGTGAGGTTGGAAAGGTGTCCCCTCGCCATGGGTTGGTGGCAGGTTGGAGGGCGGCTCACCGACCAGTGATAGAGAACCGTGGCCTTCGTGAGCACAGGAGGCGGGGTAGGAGAGCGGGCAAATGCCAGAGGGGGCTGCGCCAGCGGGCAGGGGTAGCATAGGATGGAATGAGGGGGAGTGGGCCCCGGGGATTCTAAGGTTCGCAGTTTTTGGGACAGGACAGGGCCGCCGTCCCCATCTCGCTGTGGACCAGCGGAGAGGGAGGGGCTCCCCCACTTCTCCCCTGCTCTTGCTCTCCCCACCAAGGGGCCCTGCTCCCACCGACCAGCGGGCGCGGCCCTGAGGCAGTGCTGCCCGCCCGGCAGAGAGCCTGTGGCCTGCAGCAAGGGGCGAGTCCCCGGGCGCTGCTCCTGTCGCATGGCAGGG